AGCCCCGCTAGGGCTGGATGCCATGGTACAGATGCGGCCGAGGCTGCATCTGTATGCGTTTACCCCAGTCGCTCTGCTCCCGGAGGTTCTGGAGCGGGGCCGCCAGGATGGCGTCAGCATACAACTAGTAGCCCCGTTTTGGCCGGCACGAGTATGGTTCTCGGATTTAATGTCGCTCCTCGAGGGCCCGCCCTGGCAGGTCCCTCTGAGGAGAGACCTGCTGTCCCAGGCGGAGGGCCGGATCTTTCACCCGCACCCTGCCCTGTGGCAGCCATGGGTCTGGCCCCTGAGGGGGCGCAGTTCTTAGAGGCGGGTCTGACGACAGGAGCAGTCGAAACACTGCTCAGCTCCAGAGCCCCGTCCACGAGAAGGATGTAGGGCCTAAAGTGGAATGTGTTCACCACCTGGTGCAGAGAACGGGCGGTGGACCCAGTTACTGCTCGGTAATTGTGATACTGGAGTTCCTCCAGCACCGTTTCTCTGCTGGCCTCTCCCCGTCCACGCTCAAAGTATATGTGGCTGCCATTGCAGCATTCCACGCCCCTCTGAGTGATGGGCCCTTGGGTAGGCTTCCGCTGGTCGTGTGCTTCCTCCGTGGAGCCCGGAGGATGAGACCCGTGACTCGTTCCAGGGTTCCCACCTGGGACCTGGCAGTGGTTCTCGAAGCGTTGGCTGAGGCCCCCTTCGAACCCCTGGAGTCGGCTGAGGCCAAGCACACCATCTACTACTAAACACACCATCAGCACCTGGATTGTTCAGACTACTTCCCTGGCCTATCAGGTGCGCAGTTTGCCTTCACCTATGGCTGTAAGGGCGCACTCTACTCGAGGCATGGTGGCTTCTAGGGCCCTCCTCGCAGGGGCGTCACTCCAGGATTTGTGTGATGCTGCTTGGACAATTATCAACGTGGACCGGCACATATTGATATTCTAATTTTTTTTACTAGGGTAGGCTATTTAAAATAATTTTTGATTGAGGAGCTGTATTGAGGAGCATATAGTATTCATGCAGCACCTCCTTGCTCACTCCCTCTATCTCGTGAAAACCACTGCACAAACCTGTCCAATACCCCCACCCCCCTGTCATTCTGTGGGAAGCACTGGAAAGTAATATAGTGAAGTAAGTAGTTACTTTTATTACCCAGTAATAAGTAAAGTAATAATATTACTTTTTAAGGAGTAATAAGTAACTGTTAATATATTACAATTACTGGAAGTCACTGCACTGTGTTTCTGTTGTATGATTACAGGATTGGCATGAAGAGGATTTCCTACAGTAAATCACTGAGCCTTTCCCTTTCTGTTTCCCCATTTTCTCAGCAGCACCTTGGCCTCATCCTGTCCTGGCTGCTACTGGACGGCCAGCCTGCAGCACTGCTGTCTGAGCTACTTCTGCTGGCCCACTGGACTCTACTAGATCTAAATTTTTCGGTACAAGTGTACATAGTTTACTATTGAATACTTTAGCACTGAAATTGTGTTTGTATTATACAGTCTTGTATTATATATACTGAAGTTGTGCAGTATGCATTTATTAATGTTTAAATTATTTTACACCTTCCTGTCAGAGCTGTTAAAGAAAGCTTTGTAAAAGTATATGAAAAGCTGTATTCTATAAAATCCCACTTAGGAATAAATTCAATAAAGTTATAGCATATTTTGATGTGAAATGATAACGTACTTAATACTGAAATTATTAAAGTGTTCTTTTTATATATATATGTATATAAAAATTGTAGTGAAGCAAATGGCTATACAAAAGCAGCCGAGGCAGATGTCACCAAATTTTGCTTGCCTGCCGAGAATGGCATTGCCCTAGAAATACTTTTAGCTTTTAAACGCTATAATATTCTTTGTGGGGTTAATCAATGGTGATAACTAGCATTCCTTGAGATTCAGCAAAAATATGTGGTGATAGCCACATTTGATCAGTGTTTGAAAAGGACCTTAAGAGGTGGATGCATTATTCGGGAAAGAACAGATGATGTAGGTTACCAAGATTTGCATCCATGTCTTTTTTCAGCATACAATTTTCGGCAAGCATGCAGAATTCGGCCACCGCCCACACTAAGCCATGGTTCTGCTTTCTTTCTGTAAGTATCACGTCGCTGCTTCAGCAGATGCTTCAATAAATCAGATGTAGAAGTATTTGAAGTTGAAAGCTTTTTGCTGGTTGCACAGAGTTTACAATAGACGACAATGTTCTTTGCATCTTAGAGTGTGACACAGTAATGGCAGCAGCTACTTCCAGCTGTGTATATATATATATATATTTATATATGTGTATATGTATGTGTATGTATATATTTATGTATGTATGTATGTATGTATGTGTGTATATATATATATATATATGTGTGTGTGTATATATATATGTGTGTGTGTGTATAAATAAATAATAAATAAATAATTATTAGTAATTGTTCGTTCTGCAGCTGGGTTCTGCCTCATCTGGACCTGCTACAGCTTTTCTACCAAGGAAGCGGTCAGTTAATTTGGTGCATTCAGCTGCCTCTTGCGCCGACCTCTTTTTATTCTTAATTCTTATTATTTCGGCACCACACATTTCTTTTTCCTCTTTCTTTCTTTTCCACATATTTACAGTCTCAGTTGCCCTTATCACACAACCTTGAGTTCAGTTTTGCCCGGACAAAACATACCAAACTGGTGCAAAAAGTTTTCGACTGAACTCACACCAGATGGAAAGTAAACACCTTTGAATTCTGCAAAAAAATGAGGATCAGTCCAAGTTGGGAAGGGCTGCTCATATCCCCCCTCAATATTGAAAGTATTAGTTTGGCCGAGACTGACAGAAACCCAAACAGCGTTCCGCTGCAGCTGAGCGGTTGGCCTTCGCGGTCATGGACCATTGAGTAAAACATTAGAAACTGAAAAATTTGAAAAAATAATTTTTTTCACTTTTTATTCATCCTGTTGTTAATTCTATAGATTGGTTAAGCATAACACATAGTTGTTTATATTCTTTACATAGGCACTGAATTTTTTAAAATTAAATGTGTAGGCTATTAAATAGCCTATCTCTCTCTCCTATCTCTTATTGAATGGATGCTTATGTGCCTGACTGTATACCTCAACCTTAAAAGACAAATGATACCATAATGTAGCCATGTGCTTCATTTACATTGTAACAATATTTCTTAACAAACAGGCAGCATATGAAATCCATCGTAATCAATCAGAAAATTAGTATGTTTTATTAAATCATTACAACCTAATGCTGTCACACGTCTGACAAGCCACCGTGCACCACACAGAACACTGGCCCACAAATTGTGCAATTTGGCTTGATACTCATTAAGTATTTGATTTATCACACTCTCGTCGTCCTCAGTACTTTGGCATCCGTTTTCCTTTCAGAGGGGACATGGAGGGTTTCGAGCTGCCATGCTGTTGTTTCCAGTCGACTCCCTGCCAAGAGACCAGCCCTTACCTGACTCCAATTGGTCAAAAATCCAGCCCAAAGGGAGTTCCCATCTCCCACAGAAAACTCTGATTTGTACTGCTTGAAAACAACTCGTTTGTAGTCCAGACGCTTCCCTTTCATCCCTGTGAAGTCACAGGGATAAAAGCAAAATGCGCCTCATATGTTCACCAAGACTAGTCAGACACGTCCTCAAAAACACCGGTGGAAAAACTGATCTGCAGCACACACCTCTCCTCTCCCTTCCAAGGAAGCTTCTCACTGACCAGCCCTTCTCTGCCTCTGTTTCTGATTGGCTGGTAGTTGGAACTGCGCATGTGCAACTCCCAACAAAGATCATTTTGAGATGATTGATCAAGATTAGTCACTCTGTAGCTAGAACGAAGCGTTCAACACAGGGTGAAAAGAGGAGCTGCAGCAATGTGCAGTATGACAAAAATATGGTGTTTTTTGAAAATGTAAACCTGTTCTGGTACAACCCCTAAATAGGATTATGAACCTTAAAATGAGCATAATACCACCACTACAGAGAAGGTCGAAAAAATAAAGACGCAGCTAACACTCGTCTTGGGCAAGCTCCCATCTTAATGTCTGAGTAGTCCATTTTTGGGTCAATCTCTAAACAATATACTGTAGTCTCTATAAATCTGGAAGCTAGTCCAACCTATAACAAACCTTTCAGCATCCACCTGTACAGTGCTACCCACAAGCTGGTCTGCCATTTGGATGCCTCAGTACAGTACTTGGAGGCTGTTATGTATCGCCCCTATGACATTTGTAACCACAGCCTTAGCAGACATAGCTTTAGCACAAGCTCAGTGCCAGCATTACTATAGGCTCTTACCAATGTCTATTTACATACTGTCCTTCACACCTGTATCCATTGTATTCAGTTATTAGGCTCTACTGCTAATACAATAATAATACCTGTTAATGTTTTGTATTTTGTCTCTTTGATTTTGTTTTCTTTCTCTAACTTTCATAAAAATAAATTCATCACATTTGCCGCTCATGGATAGATGTAGTCCTTTCTCAAAAAGAACTGAACCAAAGTGACAAGAGTCAGTCTCAACATTTAAATAAATATTCATTTTAATCTTAACTCTATTATGTTTTGTGGAGTTTCAACATTGTTCAGGCATGCTTGTTTACACAGCATGAACTTGTCACAGCTGATCTGTGGAACAATTGTTGAAAGTGAAAATGCACAACAATGGTGTTATATCTTTGACTCATAGTGTGAGGCCTGAGAGAGCTGGGAGGGGGAACCATATAACATTGAGTAATTGGGGGAGGTTGAAATGGGTAAAAGGGATTTGTTTTGTTTATATAATTAGCCATATTTAAACAGATTTAATCTCACTTGATGTTTTCACTCATATCTACAGCAAAACACCATGAGAGTCTGTGATGAGAGCCAGAGTGACTCAAACATTAATTTAACCCCCTTATCTCACTGACTACGTCTCTGAACATGTTTTACACAACTACCAGGACACCATTCAGGACATACACTGTTTATTAAAAATATTCTTATATTTACAGTAACAATGTAATTATAAAAATGACAAACAATACAGTATATAAAGCTTTTCTTTCCCAACGCCAAGCAAGACCCTTTCCACACATTAAACCTAAAAAAGGGGGGTGTTGTTGAAAACATTAATTGTCTTCAGTTTGGGTCAGTTTAACAGTTGCAGGTGTTATCTAAATGCTGGGAAAGTTAATTCAAGTGTTGATCCAACTTTTTGATATAACTGCTTAAGTGCTGCTGCTGAAAAATGAATAATATTGACTATTTAGCTACTACTCTTACTCAAACGAGGTCAGCTTTACTGCCATTCAGTGTAATGGGTCATGAATAGGAAATTAACCCCAACAGCCTGTTTCAGTAACTCTAGTTAACCAAATAACTTTAGGTGAGAAGAAATTCTGGCTTCACAGACATACAGTAGTCATAAAACATTAAATACCCCCGTCCCCACTTAAATACCAACACATCATAAGAATTTGAGGAAAATTATCACATTAAAAGGGAAACTTCTAATTTTACACATAAAGATCACTTAGTCATGCAGAGTATATTCAGGCTTTGAAAACAATTGTATATTAGGCTTAGGGCCTGTAGAGTTTAAAAGACAGGTTTAATGGAATGTACCAGCAGCAAAGGTTTAACAAAAACACACTATAAAATGACAGTATAGGAAGTTTAGGATATGGGAGTTTGTCCCGGGATAAAAAAAATCAGGACATCTTAGTAACTGCTGCTTCAATTAATTATCTGTCTTTTCCAAAATCCCAACTTCACTTTTCCAAATCCCCAACTTCACATTTCTGTTACGTTTAACAAAAAGGACACTTAGTCACCCAAGAAGAAAAAATTATCTAAATAACTGCACAGCTGCTTGGCCCAGAACCTGGTAGAGTGTAGAGGAAACACGGAAATCTTGAGTTATGTGGTAGACAGTTAATCTGAGTCGGTGATGGATACCTGCGAAAAAAAACACAGGAGTCTGAAGGAGAGCGGAGAGCCTACATGAGTGAACAGCTTGTCATTGTAAAACTAATTTTTTCATGCATATAGAGTGCATGTGATGCCACCATTCATGGTCAACATGGTCACAAACACGTAACAAGTCAATCATCATGCATTGAGACGAGGGGGAAATGAAGAAAACGCTGCTAAAATGATAAAGACTGAGAGATAATGTGTTCATAAATAATTCAGGTAAAGGTTCTTGCTCTCTGAAAGCTAAAGAGAAGAGGCCAGGGAAACACCAGGAACCTAATTTTACAAATATATAAACAGTTTGTTCCTGCAAACGTTACTGTCTTTGTTTGGCAAACAAGGAAACAATTTCTTTGAGAGTGAAATAGTGTATTAATGCCTGTTTTGTCTTGTTTATCACTGAGCACCTGTGAGTCCATAAAGAGATACAGAAGATCACTTGTACTCCGGCTTCTTTAACGAGGAACAGTGGCATTTCAGTACCATTATTTGTAACTGATTCATCTAAGCAACATATTGTTTAGCCATGCTATGATGACTCTATGGATGGCAATGTTGGTCAGTTGTTCCAGGCTGAAATATCTCAACAACTATTTGATGGGTTGACATGACATTTGGTGCCCAGAGGTTGAAAGCTACTGACCTTGGTGATCCCTTGACCTTACCACTAGCACCACCATGAAGTTTACATTTGTGGTTTTGAGTGAAAGGTCTCAACAAGGATCAATTGTAATCCCTTTGAACATTTATTTCATCAAGCAACATCATCTGGTTAAAATTATAATTTGTCCACTACTTTGGTTTATGCCTACCTACAAAACTAATTACATTCCCATCAGCCTCGGCTGTGCTTTGTTTCCTGCTACTGAGATATGCCACTACACAAAACTAAGATGGTGCCCATGGTAAAAATTACATCTGCTTAGCATTAACGTTTAGCTCAAAGCACCACTTTATCGTTGAGCCGCTACAATGGCTATAGACTTTCGGTTATAGGAAATATGTGGAAAAGTGCTATAATTACAAAGTATTTGTAAGCTATGAATTACACTGAGGTGGCAGTGTGCCCAGTGTCTATGTTTTTCTTCACCTGACAATCACATGAAATGAAAGCCTACTTTTTAAAAACTATTTAAGCCACAATTGATATATAAATTAAACAGTTTGGTTTAGCTGAATCTCATTTATTGTGGTGGCGATCTATCACAGTTCCCGACACTATTAATAGAGATATGTTTGACATTTTACAGTATGCTAGTCAGTAGTGATGGGCGTGCCAACATACCAGCCGAGCACATACAAACTCAAAGTTTGGAGAGCTTAGTCCCCAGTGTAAAAATATTATAATTTTTAACTGGAAAAAAAATCTCAAATACAGGGGAAAGTATTTATATAGATCATAGAAAAAGGAGTATAAGACCAAAGAAAAATGTAAACTTACATCTGTTACCTCAACGCCCTCCCCCCAAGTCACCGAGGATGAAAATTACTTTTCTTTGTACGTTTTGTTTGATTAGGTGTTTCTTGTTGAACACAGATTGAAGGTAGTAATGATCACCGCCTCCCACATCTTTCTTCTGAAACCAGTAACCATCAGATGTATCATTCGGAATTTCAGCCATCTCCAGCTGTGAACACACAAAACACATTGTTTGGCCATGTTTTGGTCCCATTTTAGGCATAAGGAAGCAAGGTGAGCGTGCACTTAATATCAATTTTTAAGTTAGTTTCAGTTATTTGCCACCTATAAAGAGCCCTGTTTGTGATTTTGAGAGATGTTGAACACTTTATCTATCTTTTGAGCAGTAAACGCTCACACACTGTAGGATTGAAAAGTGGCTACAAATAGTTTGTAGTTTGCATCTTCTTGCAGAAATCAGCTGTGGTCAGGAATGGGGCCAGAGGGGTGGCCATGGCCACATCTGAAAACTAACTGGCCCCTTTTTTCTAAATGTTTTAACATCGCCACATGCTTTCAGCTTGGTTTCACACCAATTACAATAGGTTAAAAGATCAAAAAGTGAGAACTTTTCACGGGGAGAAAATAATCAATATGTCCATATCTGGATATTCATTATATTCAGAATTTTGGCTTCATAAAGCTGCATAGGTGCATATTTACTCTAACCAACTCTTCCCGTTCATGTGTAATGATATACGTTTATGTTAGGGCGATCAGTTGAAATAATCTCAACTTCGTTTCTAAGAAATCTTAAATACTACAATGCCCATGAACCTCGGCTACCCTTGCTATGAAGGAAAAAGGCAAGAATAGCAAACTCAAAACATTTTGTTGTTAAATTTGTTAACAAAGCCGGGCACCATAAGTGCTTTTTATTGTAATATTGACCCACAATTCTAAATAAAATAGATTTTTGAAAGAATTTGGATCATTCTTTCTGAAATTATCCTTGGGAGTAGTTAACTTCTCCCCTGAAGTTTTCATGTACACAGACTTGTGTCTGTAACATTTTATCAAAGGACCTGATATTTTCTAACACAGTTGTTCACTTTTGTACTGATGATTTAAGCCGAGTGTCACATTACATTGGCTATGGGAAATATAAATGGGACTTTAGGAATTTATGGAACTTGTGGAAACAGGTGAGACAAAAATAGCTCCTGACATTTTCATCAATCTCAGTCCTCTCTGCACAGTTGGGCCTGTGAGCAGATCTGTGCGTTGTTTTATATATACATTATATACAGTATATTGCTATTGTTAAAGGTTTATATTTACCTGTAGGTCTCCGTTCTCATTCACTTTTGGCAAATAGTAATTATTCTCATGCTGGAAACGTAATGCCATTGCGTTCCCATTCTCCTTTTCCCATATGTCTACCACAGGTCCTAAGGACAGAAGCAAGGCAACTATTTTTTTTGTGTGTCTGAGTCAGTAATTTTGTCATAGTAATCCATAATCATTCAAAATCAGATTAAAATCAAACAAAGCTTTTTGCTGCAATATAAATACTTTTTATGGCACACTGAGGAAGGGTAGGAGGGTAACATTTAGATCAGTGGTGCATTAGATTGGTCCCTTTACATTACAGTTAATCTGTTATTTTGAAATACGTCTGCTCATTAGATAACAGTTGTACCATTGTTTTGATGTTCAACAGCACACAGCTTCGGTACTGTCGATTCCATCCGGACTGCGACAAATTTCCCATCTTTAAGCTGGAGAACACATTTCTTGGTAGGAGAGGACATGCTGTTTTCTCCACAACGTTCTGACATGGGGAAGATAGAAAAGCCTTTAAATATGTCATATACACAATCAGCAGTACTTAAAAAACTTCATAAACTCCAGTTTTTCAAGAGAAGTGTCTCATCATTGGCAGTTTACATTATCATTTGGAAGCCTACAGTCCCCTACTGGCTTCCATACTCCTCCTTTTTCAGTTGATTTAAATACCTGCAGTCATCACACAGCAACAGGAACAACATGTGTGCTCCATTTGTAGTATATCTACAAGTCTGCCTGCTCTGTAAATATGACTGCGTCAGATTTTGTTGCCTGTAAACAGCACTTTGTGTTATAAGGCATTGTTTGTGTTTGTCGTGAAGTAAAATAAACTAGAGTCAGGAATTCTGATTGTGCATAACATAACACAGGCCTGTGTTAACAGTTGCTTAATTTATGTCTCATAATTGCATCAAAACTTTCAGATTATATGATATATACCTATTATTTGTTGATGTTCAGTTATCAATGTTTCATTCATCCATAACTAAGAGAGTTACTAACTTAATTTTTTTTTTATTCTACATGAAAAGGTTAATTTTTACAATATATTTCAGTGTCCCACATTACAGACACTCCTGTCCTACATTAGGAAGTCGCCGATTGTCTCAAAGAATTTGCACTAAGAGCACCAATATGTCTGTTATTTCCTCTAGGAATGTGTTACCTGTATTTTCTCTTTTGATTTGATTAGGACACATCCTGAGGTTTTTAAAATGGTATTGGGTGTTGATTTAATACAATGGCTTCACTTCGCAATATGCCACAGAAGTCTGAAAAACAAAAAAATGTCCCACATTAGGGCAATTTACCTACTGTAGCCTACATGATTTCGAGTATCAGTCCCATCGACTAAAATTAGTCTGATGTTGGGAAAGATGAAGAGCGCGTCTACTGCGTCTGCAGTAGATGATTAAAGCCCGCGCGGTTCTCAGCAGTGATGAAAGTGATCAGTTGATAGTAGCATTTTGACCTGCCAACAACATGACACCTTTCACGCTATGCCTTCACTACAGTTTCAAAGTCTCTCTGGAGAACATGTCGCAGACATCGTTTGTTAGTGTTATACAATCGAGCACATGTTTCTAAGTCTTTGACTAAACTAAATAAGTTAAACTTATGATGAAATGAAAAATTATTAAAGGCTAACTCGGTGTGAAAAGATAGGGCTGCAGCAGCAACGATGTCTGCGTGGACAAGACAGGCGTGCGAGCCGCAGCATTTCAAGGTCTCCACGCACAGGTCAACTCAGTATAACGCCAGCAGAGGTGGGTAGGCAAAAAAGAGGGTAGAAGAAAGCCTGGCCTGGTGCTGCAGGAACTATTCCAGTGCTGCCTTAACAGGTCAATCCCCGGGCACATGCAATCTTTAAAGTCTGGTCAGACTCTACAAGGAAAAGGAGCTAATCTGCACGTTTGAAATGATGCAATAGTTACTTACCCTCTGCGATAAAGTCTTGAGAAGTAGTAAAGTCGAGCCTGTGGCTGTTGAAGACAGCAGTAGTGTCTCGGCGTGCTGTGCGGTGCTCTTCAGACTGCAGGGACTGGCACTATTTCTACTACGATGCTGCTGACGCACGCGCTCTCGTAGGAATCTGATCTTGCGCCAGCGGGATGGACGGAAATCAGGAGTGAAGCCCTGTTCCAAAGCCAAAAAAAAGTTTGTTCAACGAATTAAATGACTTGAATTGGCTGAATCGTGTTTCCCCTGGAGATGCTGGTAAAATGTGCTTTTCTAAAAGTTAACTCTGTTTTTTTCCTCTGTTTTTCTTGCATGCTATTTGTAGGCCTACTGTTGTAATTTGACACGTCCTTATCTCAAATTGACACACACCAGATATATAATAGCCAGAAGTCTGGCACTTCTGCTGGTCACTGCCTAAATAAACAGCCTATGCACGAATCTCCATCTAACACCCAAAAAATAATAATATCGGCTACTGCTGATATAATTACCTTTTATTTATTTTCTGTGGCAGCAAATACAACATGCATCCTTTCAGTAACTATTAGCTATACTGCAACCTGAGCTTATATACACTATTTATGACTGATTAACACACACACACACACACACACACATACACACACACTCACACACTGGGAAATATTACAACCATAAACCCACTAGACTCATCACATGGGTTACACAGGAAACCCACAAACCCACTCTTTAAAGGTCAAGGCAGGTAACACATAGTGCAGTTAGGCTGTGGGTGGGCTTACCAGAGGGGGAAGAATTATTTTGGTCCATTACCTAAGGAAAAGTACAGCATATTCTCCACTACAACTAAAAGTTCTATATTTAAAACCATTTTAAGGTAAAAGTTTTCAAGTGTTATAACAAAATGGGATTATTGCGCAGTAAAATCTTGAATCCTAGGTTAGATTTCAGCCAGTCCCCAAAGTAAAATAAAAGGTGAAATTTACATTCACTCCATTTTGTTTTTAATTTTTCTATAGTATCAAAACAGACAGAATTAATCATTAACATAGAAATCCCCCTATTTAAAACCCTGTAAAATATCCACTGTTGTTGCAGTTGTCAGTTCATGCAAATATTTCAGGTTTAGTGATTGTAAAACCAAATGGTGGAATGTTTTTCACTGGAAACAGAGCTCATGAAATTCTCATTTCTTCAGCACAGCCAGAAACTTCAGCCAACAAAAAGACCAGAAATCAGACTGAAATCTGTTTGATATACAGCTTTTAATGGAGGAAACAGGAAGCCACACAAGAATGCTTTATCCTCAGGGAAAGGGGGTCATGGAAGGGTACACTGGAAAAAAGAAATCACTATGTAGGGGCGTCATGGTTTAAAAATGTTAATTAAGGAATGTGTGCTTTCGTGCCTTTCCTAACACTGAATGCGTGCCTAACATTAGTAGCTATTCCATAACAATGGGACGTAAACATAATTTCTAGGAGACATGGATGGAGCCCAAACCATCTGTTAATGCTGCAATGATTTTCAACAAATCAAAATTATATCAACTTAAAGAATAGAAAATTATTTTAAACTTCATTTTCACACATGCCCACCTCTACAAGAGTGACGGATATTACCAAATAAGTAATAAGTATAAGTAATGAAATCATCACAAACAAATTGCCACAGTGGGATTTCAGGGCTCCTAAGGGTCTGTAAATTTATAATCTAGGCCTATTTATTGTAGGTATATAGCTCCTCATTAATATAATTACAAAATATGCTGTCAGACTGAGTTTAGAAACAAGGTGGAACCATTTGACATAATGAGTATCCATATTTTATGGATTTATTTATTATATATATTTTATTAAGTAACAGCAAAAGGACAAAAACATCACTCTGATGTTTAGTAGCATGGAAAGATCAATAATAGAAGGATTCCTTCATTTCTGATGAATATTTAAACTTAATTCCAAACCCAGTTTGTCAATGTGATATCAGTTGTTTATATTTCTGTTTTTACAGGCCACACACACACACACCAGCATGAGGAAGTGCGGGTTGCATCACCCATGAGAGCAATTCTGGATTGGTGACAGGGGTTCCTCTGATTCAGTGGTGCTGACGCCAAGGGATTAGGTAAGAGATTAATCCAAAATTCTTGTAACTCACCTTGGGGGGGTTCTTACTTTACAACTATCCAAAACAGCACAAAAAATCCTCCCGGGCCCTTTGAAAATTGCTCCCTCTAGTGGCCAACAGGTGGATTGGAATGTTCTGTCTACTGCGTGATCTGGCGGATCTGGAGGTGGATATACAGTAAGTATGCATGGATATGAGTTAGATATTTGTTCACATCCCATTTTAGAATATTATATACTGTATATTAGTTATTACATTGAAACAAACTCTAAATACATTTATTATTAGTATTAGAAACGTCAGGTTTTTAGAATGTCTGGTGCATAAACAGTTTGCCCCATCGAGTAAAGTGGGACAAAATGTCTATGAAGATTCTCAGTCATCCAGGTCATAGTTATCCAACGAAGGTTAAATGAAGGGCAACTGGACTGAGGTTAAATAGCTGAGTTTCCCTGCCAGTCAGTCAGAACTGAAGAAGTCCTTTGGATAAGGGACGAAACGTCTTCCAGTAGCTTCAACCAAGTCCAGTTGCCCTTCATTTAACCTTCGTTGGGACAAAATGGTTAAGTAATGGTCAGAGAATCATGAGGCAAGAGAAATTACTAAGTTACTGCTAAGTATAATGTATCACTTTACTTTGGGATGCACAATAAGAGTAACAGGCCTATTTCCAAGCTACCATTCATCTCAAAAATACTAGAGAAAGTTGTTGCCAATCAGCTCACAATATACTTGACAAGTTCCAATCTGGTTTCCATCAGAATTATTCCACAGAAACAGCACTTCTTAGGATCTCAAATGACCTAGTTATGTCTTCTGATGCAGGGAAGTGCTCTGTTTTGGTGCTGCTCGATCTTAGTGCAGCATCGACCACTGATTGATAGGCTTAGGAGGTGGGTGGGTATCTTTGGGAGTGCTTTGGACTGGTTTTCCTCCTACCTCTCAGAGAGGAGCTCCTGTGTGTCACTGGGAACTCACATGTCCAAAACTACTGCTCTATCCTGTGGTGGGCCCGATTTTATTTATATTGTATATGCTCCCCTTAGGAAACATTATTAGTAATTTCAAGGGCATTTCTCATCACTGTTACACTGATGACAGCTGTATGTCTCTTTTGGGTCAGATGATTATGACAAACTAACCACACTGTTCAACTACCTCACTGCCATTGAATGCTGGATGGCTAAAAACATCTTAGAACTGAACACAGACAAGACTGAGGTCCTTATTGTTGTAACCGATAGCATAGCTCCCTCGATCACTCAGCATATTGGATAACTTTCATCAGCAGTAAAATCAAATCTTATAAATCGGGTGTAATGTTTGACACATCAATGCACTTTGATCGACATGTTAAAACTCTGACCAGGTCGTTTTTTCTTTCATTTAAGAAACATTGACAAGCTCAAATCTGTTGTCTCAAAACCAGAATTTGAGATATTAATCCATGCTTTTATTTCCTCCCGCTTAGATTATTGCAACTCCCTTTTTACATCTCTTAGCAAGTCGTCCCAGGACCGTTTAAAAATGGTCCAAAATGCTGCTGCAAGGCTGTTGACCAGGTCCAGCCGGGGAACTCATATAACTCCCATTCTGTCCTCTTTACATTGACTCCCTGTTAAATTTAGGATTCAATTCAAAGTTCTTGTTTTAACATACAAAGCGCTGCATGATCAGGCACCCGGGTACATCTCAGACATGCTGCAACATGCAGCATGTCTGAGATGTCTCAGACATGCTTTAACTCTTACCTACTCTTCGCCTGTTAACATACACAAATACATTGATTATATTGATTGATGCTTTTATAATGTTTGATGCTTATATATGACTGTCTGATTGCTCCACTGTTTTATTGTTACTTTTGTTATTATTGTTATTATTATTGGGGGGTTTTTGTAAAGCACTTTGTGACTAGCTCTGTGAAAGGTGCTATATTAAATAAATTTTACTTACTTACTTACTAATGATTATGTAATATTCAGGAACATGATTCTCTCCGCACTATTTCCTGTTGTGTATCTTATTTTGAAGTGTTACCAAAAATGTCACACAAAAGCATTTTATGCCATGTCATGATATACAGTATAAGAGAAATATTCAAGGTGTCTTTTACCAGAGGGACCTGAACACACACTAATTTAAACAACCACAATTTTTTAATAAAAAATCAGAAAGAAGAATTACAGATTCTCATAGTTTGTTTTCCAGTTAATTTCAGTAATCTGTGGTCATGTTTTTCACTCTGAACTCAACCAAGGACAGAAGTCCATTGAACTCAGTTGGAGGGATGGCCATCATTCCTCCACAAGATATTCTCTTACTTATATATAGAACCTTTATTTAATCAGGAAATCTCAATGGGCCTCATTCACTGATATGCGCACAAAAATGTTTTTACTTTGTTATTCACGAATGTTATTGAAATCTGTTAGTTCAGCAACCTTCATTCAGTCTTTATTCAGCCTGCTCCCTTTTGCCCACGTGGTAGAATAGAAAAAATAGACAACCTTCTTCTCTGTCTGTCCCTCTTTAACTGTCCAGAAAATTCCTTAGTGGTCACCCTCTCTCCCCATTCCCAGTGCTCTGATTACCAAAATGTTTTGTCATGTTTCATCAAAATCTGAAAATCACATACCACATAGTACCATATTTACATCTGCCCCTCTGCTCGGGCAGTTTTAAACAAACAATTTAACAATGATGTCACCTGCTAGGTTTGAACTAATTAACAACTGCTCAGTATTCATTACAGACATAGGATGTTCAAGTTTAGTATTACTTACTAAGATCTTAATATGGTATTCAATATAGTTTCGATGTGCTTGAGATTTTTACTTTATTTCTGAGAGGTTGTAACTCACCCAGTGTGTGTTTTTTGGCTGGATCCTGTCACTAGCGTCCGTCCTGCCTCCTCCAGCTCAGTCCTTTTGGTTTTTTTTCCATCTCATCATCAGTTTTAGAAATTGTGCAAAATCTCTTTTCCGATGTCCACATTTGCCCTTTTCTTCACCCTCTCCTCCCTGTATTGTCCATTTCTTCGTACCAGGATGACTTGATACAGCACCAATAATGTTCTTTTGACAGTTGTCTTTCTTGCTTTGTCTTCGTGTTAAGCATTCTGTCCTGCTGTCTGTCTTGCATGATGTGATGTGCTGTGAAATACACCTTACTCCAGCAAGCTCCTGTTCTTGCCGTTCAGCTGCTGGACTGCGTCATGCTGGCAGAACTTAGTCAAATGGTAATTCTGGACTTTGCATTGTTCTTTTCACTCAGCATACTTCGAACTGCCTTCCTCCGTTTCTGGCTGGAGTGACGTATGATGATAATGATGGTGATTAAGAAAGGAACATTTTATCTCATCTTTATGCTGATCTTGTGGAAGTCCAGCTTGATTTGATTTTCTCATCGCTGTGTTTATCTCAGTCATTGTGGCCCATACTCTTTGACAACCTTATCCAAACTGCTTCAGCTGTGTCTGTGGAGCTGTCAAAGGTTTCAGTCAGGCTGGACACAATAGCCATGGCTTCAACAATGTCCTGTTTTTACACGGCATTTCTTTCTCTGGGCATCTGGAGGGAGAGCCAGTGTCTATTTATTGGACTTTTACTGGACCGGAGCACATTTCCTTCTGTGCACCAGCAGTGGGCCTTTAATTCTTGGTTTCTCATCTCTCTTTTGCTGCCTGGTCTGATTTCAGCAGCACCAGGGCATACCAGTAGTCTTCTTACTGGACTGGATTGCAGACTGGAGCATTCAGGAGGAGGAGCAGAGTCCTGGACTGGATCAGCCAGAATGGATTCTGTGACTTGTGTACCTCGGTTAAAGAAGATATAATCAGTTGATCGGTCATCAATAGGCTAAACAGTTTAATCAGATACTTAATGAATCTATTCTAATTTTCAGTTCTGAGCTTTCCGTGTCCTCGGGTTCTTGTTTTAACCACCTGAATTGCAGTTTGTTTACTTTTCTTTCCTCTGGACAGGGCTGCACGCTCTATTGCATTTCTTCTCCCCTTTCTCTCCAAACATGTCTTTAGCTGGTTCAATAGTTTTAGACTAAAGCTTCCATTTTGCAGGAAACCCATTTCAACCCACTTATCAGATTGTTCCATTAATGTCTAATATTTTAGTCATCAATTTCATAACTGGTGAAGGTAATCTGGGAGTGGATTCAGACTCAGTCCTCACTTTACTCTGACACATGCCATGGTCTACTCTCTCTAGCTAGTCGGTACTCAGGTCCATCGCAATATCTGGGTCCAGTGAGTTCGGTTAAGTCTGAGGCATTTACACAGTCTAGGTCTCTATGTTTTGGGAACAGAGATCCTCTCTCGGGAACAGAGATCCTCTCTCGGCCTTGAATGAACTTTGAATGAGAGGAAAACACCAAAACAATCTCACAGCTCTGACCTAAACCCTAGTAAATGTGGACAGAGAGGAAAGGTTAAGGATAAAACACAATACATAGGAATAATAGTAAAAGAACATACATGAACGATTAAATATAAGAGGACACGATTTTCTGCCATAACACTTTGCATGCAAAATTACCTGGATTCATGACACATGCACAATGGTCAATTATGTTCTTACCACCGTGCATATGTTAATGAATCACAATCATTCCAAACTGACTGGCGCGTGCCCATTATGTACAGTCAGCATACTGCCATACGTTTGCCTAAAGTTGTAACATGGAGAAAGTGGTGAAGTTGTTTTAAGAGAAAGATATGGCCCCTAAAGGAAAAAAGCTAAATCATTTCACGACTGAAGAAACTGAAACGAAAGGTAGAAAGCCAGAAAATGCACATATTACACACATATATTACATTTCAATTATGACAATCAGGGTCAAGTCAATGTTGTGGTTTTTCAAAACATTTGGCCAATGCATTAGTAAATTAATGGTTTTAAATATTGTCTATTAAAGCTTTTTTAATGAATGCAGCTTTAACATGTGTTGGGTGTGTGTTTACATTTTCTAAGACAACCGTACAGTCGTATGCATTCTTTAAGCACAGATTTGTGGGTATGCACTGTATGTGAATGAGCCCCATTGAGATCAGAATCTCTTTTGCAAAATAGACCTGAGTGCAGTAGATATAAAAATTACAATTTACATTTACACTAACTTACTCATTTGGCAGATGCTTTTATCTAAAGAGACTTACATTTGAGGAACAACATACAATCATCAATAAAGCATTATACATACAGTACGAGATCTACAACTGACAATATATACTAGTAAGAGCTAATAGCACATATGGCATCAATGGGGTAAATACCCAGGGAAAGAATTAAGAGTTAACAAAAAATTGAAATCAATTCAAGATAGGGGACAGAAGAAGAAGAGCACAGGAAGTGCATGTTAAAGGTTAGTGGTTAGAGGTGTTATAAGATAGAGATTCTTGGAAGAGATGAGGTTTCACAGGGCTCACAAGTCTCACGCATTCACCGTGAGACGCATTTCAGCCATTTCACACGCTCACAACACACACCTTGTATTTCTCACACTGAGAAGTAAGTTTAGAGATAACACCCACAAAGTTGTAAGAAGCTCTTGAAAACTTTTGCTTAAAGTTATGGTTTATTTCATTTGACATAGGAAGTCGGAATTTAAGAGTTCAAAGTCGAAAATTTCAAAGGGAACGCCCCCTTAAGTCGGATTTCCGACTCGGAAAGTCAGGAGAACTGCGCTACCCTGAGTTTGTGATCCAAGGTAGCTGGTCTGAGGCTCAACAGTTAGTGAAAGCTGTAGTTTATACAGTTTATTAGCGCTTCTGTGTACTTGTGCCTCATAGAAATTTGCATACACAAATTGCTGTCTTTGGACGTGTTGCTACAGTGTTTCGTGTAAGTAAATACAGCACAATGCGTAACAGTAGCTAACCTGGCTAGTTGTAAAAAATGGCTGGCCGAGAGACATTTTCTGACTTGGAATGCTGTCAACTCGGGTGTGACGGCATTCCAAGATCCTACCTACCACTTCCCAGAGCCCTTTAAAGAGAGAGTCAGCGGGGGTCCAAAATGCTTAATCGTCACGTGACCGTAGATAGATCCCGGAAGTCCTAGGCGGGCAAAAATGAGCGAGAGTAGTTTGATGTAAAACTGTTGACATATAAAACTGTGAAAATACTTAATTACAAAGACCACATATCCGTATGTGACGTCGTAACTTTCTCTGTCAGTGACTGAAGCTAACACTTACATGAGAGGATGATGTGATGAAAGAGCCAGGAGTCGTTGGATTTAACACATCAGGTGAGATATTTCTGCGTGGAACATAGCTATATATTCAAGCTAGTAGCAAGAAAGCAATGAACGTTAGCTAGCTTTACTGCACTAACATGTTGGTGACATATGTTGTGTGAGACGAGAGATGTAATTCATTGAGCGGTTTCACACAAAACGACATGTAACTGTTTTACAACAAAATGCGACTTGAATTGACCAACATCATATGTGTAATTCAGGGTTCAATTCTAACAGGATAAAAAGATAAGTTGTCTCTCGCCATTGACTACCGTACATAATTTTTCCAAAATAAGGTCCTATGAGCTGGAAGCAGAAGTGAGTGACTTAGGCTCTCTATAGCATTTTCTATTGCAGCTCCACTGCGCTGCTAACTTCCGGTAACTAGTCAGACACTCTATGATCTGCCATTGCTGTGAAAAACTGGTCCATTGGAGTGAACGGAGATGACACAGATAAGAACAGCCGGGACTGAGATTGCTTTGTGTGTCGGATGGCAGAGCCAGGCTGCGTTTGTTGGAGGAGCGCAGTGGCTAAGAAGGGACGTAAGCTTGTATTAGGGTGTTTAGGTAGATGGGTGCCTACCCAGTAGTCACTCTGTATGCAAGCATTAGCGACTTGAATTTGATTCGGGAGGCCACGGGTAGCCAGTGGAGGTCACTGAGTAATGGAGTCACATGAGTCCTTTTCTGCTCGGCCGAACACGCCCCTTTTATGCGAACGCGCACCAACTGCAATCTAACACCGTGGCGGCCGACAAAGGCAGGGAGGCTTGTTTGAGAGAAACTTCACTTTGCAAGGCTGCAACATCACACAAACACCTCTGCCGTGTGTTATGCATACAGTGGAAAGTTATATTGGACTTTGCAATCGGATTTATCAGTGAGGAAATTCTCGTAAGTTTAGCCCACAGTCACTCTCGTGCACCTTAGAGACATCCGTGGACTGGGCGTGTTAAGGAGAGGGATTTAGATTTTTTGTGACTTTAATTTCAGGTAATTTCTGATTTTTGCTCTTGTAAATTTGACATATTTATCTAGGATTTTTTTCTTGGTTTATAACCCCCACCCTGGCTCCATATTTTTGGACACAAAAATAGTCAATCTAAATATGTGAAAACACTTAGGAGAATTCAATTACAGCCTAAAGATGGGCTACATACAGCTGTCCTGTTAATTAATTAAGATCTCCACTCTAAAATCACAGAGGCTGCAGAGTTCGCTGTATGAACGGAATGCTGTTGTGTTAAGAATAACGTCATTTCAGCTGCAACCGCAGTGGAACAAGTCTGGAAAAAATATTTTATCAACGGGTGTGTATTAATAGCCTACCCATCACTGACACAGAGTACAGATGTGGTTTGTGGCCCACATATAGGCCTACAGGGTAACCTCGAATTAACCACGAACAAAACCTGCTCGGAGCAGTTTAGAGATGCAACGTAAATTGCCATGGCAACAGACCTCGGTTAAAGCCTATCCACCTTTCGTAGTACAGGTTATTCGGGAAGTTACACCCGACGTCACAGAGTTACTCCTGAAGTTACCAGGAAAAGCCAGTTACCTCGCTTCGTAGTACAGGCCACTGCTCTATATGAAAAGTGCAATGAGAGAACTTCTGTT